AGTGACTCTGTATCCCTTCCATTTTCTTTTGAGGTATTCTGAATCATTATTTTGGCCAGGGAATCTTTCAATATTGTCAGGTCTTTCAGATTGAGAGATGGTGAGCATCTTCTTCTAGTATGGTTTCCTAATTCCAGGTCTGCACATTTTATTAATGTACACATATCTAACATGTAGATATATATCACTGCATATTTGTACATATACAAAATACTATATATGATACATACAAATAATACATTACTGTTATATATAGTACATATATATACATAGAATAGTATTAGTATTATATATATAAAATACTTCACTATGCCATCTGTGTTAGTCCAAGTTGACTAGAGAAACAAATCTAGGAACACTTCTGTGTGAGAGAGAGTTATATATCAAAGAGGAATTGTATATTAAGAAAACAACTCAGCCAAGTCCAGATCAAGTCCATAAGTCCAATATTAGCCCATATGTCCAATACCAGTGTATAAATTCATCTTCAAACTCCTGCAGCAAGTTCACAGGCCAATGGGTGAGAAGTTTTGTGGATCCAGTGGAGTTGGAAGCATCTCAGCGCTGGTATGGGTTTCCATGTGGGCTGACATGGGTCTCTGTGTGGTTCCTCTAGCTGCAGGGCTAGTTCCTTGTTAATAGGAATGTGAAGCACAGTGTGCGTGTGTCCTGCCTGCAGGGAGGTAGACAGGAGTTCCCAGAATTCTTAGGAAAAGGCCATGGCCACACAGAGGCACCATTAGCTATGACCTAAATGACAAGTTAAACTCCACTCCTTCGTTCAAGTTGACAGATTATGTACCTGCCGCAGCTCATCAAGTTGTCATTTAAAATCTTCTGCTAAACTCTTTTACTTCACCATCTGATTTAGCTATGTTATACTAAGAGCAAGTTTCAGTCTCTTCTGACATGCATTTGGTCTTCTCTTTCTTTCCTGTCTTTTTTTTCTTTTAATTATTTTATTGAGGGCTCGTACAATTCTTATCACAGTACATACATACATCCATTTTGTCAAGCATATATGTACATTTGTTGTCCACATAATTCTCAAAATATTTGCCTTCTACTTTAGCCCTTAATATCAGTTGCTCATTTTTTTTCCCTCCCTCCCCACTCCCCCCTCCCTCATGAACCCTTCATAATTCATAAATTATTATAGTTTTTCCTGTCTTTTAAATTGCAGTTTGCTTTCTTCAAGTATGCTGTTCCAACTGTTCTCCCACAACTCATTAGTGTTCAATTTGTCGAACCTATTTTTGAGATGGGTCTCTTACATTCAGGTGAGATATATTCAAGGACATGCTGTGACTCTCACGAACTTGTTTTAATTTTCTTCAGCTTGAATTTGAATTTGCTTATGAGCGATTGATGACCTTTCCTATAGTGGGGCCCTGGTCTTGTTCTGACTGATACTGAGTTTCTCCAATGTCTCTCTCCACAAACGTAGTTAACTTCTTCTTGTATATTCCACCAGGTTGGAGTCACAGATATTGTCTATCCATTTATGTTGTTTTAAAAAGGTATTTACAATGAAGTCCTTATTGGTCTTACAAAATTCTATCATGTAATTGCTAACACAGTTTATATCAATCACCAACTAATGAGTTCTCTTTTTCCAATGGTCACATTCTAATCACCAGTAATTATCAATGCATCTTGACTGTATGTTTGGTCAATTGCAGATTACAGAAGTTAGTTGAAAAATCTTCAGTTTCTTCATCTTGGGCATTAGCAGTTGGGTCATAAATTCGATTAATAGTCTTCATTGTAGGTATAGGTGTATTATCCTATCACTGACAGCGTTGTACTTCAGGATATACTGGTATGTTATTTTTGACATTGAATGTGGCAGTCTTCTTTCTCAATGTGTCATGTCTAGCATAGTAAGTCATATGACTATCGATACAAAATGGTCAAAACCAGTCCATCTCAGTTCACTAATTCTTTAGGATATTAATCGTCAAGCATCTTATTTCATTTTTGACCACTATCAATTTTCCTAGATTCACACTTTGTACATTCTTCATTTGAATATGTAATGCATATTTAAAATGGTTTCTTCTCTTTTGGAGGCATGCTCTATCAGCCAATAAAAGTCTGAAAAGCTTTGCTCTCGAGCCATGTCAAGAAGGTGGCCTCTACTTTGAGGAGGCAGCTGT